TTAACGTAAACGTGCTAAAGCCTTTAGGCTAGATTTTTACCTATATTCAAAGTTATGTGACATCGTGAATAAATTTTATTTCTATAATCGGGCCATACACCATAAAGTAGTACTCCTACCCTTCAAAATCCACTTTACAGATTAGGAAAAAATTTTTTTCATCGAGATGATTGGAGATTCCCCGTGGGGTTAATCAAAGGCTACGCGAGTGGAGGTGATCAAGGGTATTCAGGGGTATGCAAGTGGGGTCAATCGGGGTGTATATGGATAGGGTTAATCAAGGGATGAGGTTGATCAGAGGGTATACGAGTAGGATTGATCAGAGGGTGAGGTTGATCAGGTGGTATGCGAGTGGGGCTAATCAGGGAGTTAATCAGGAAGTTGATCAGGGGGTATGCATATGGAGTTAATCACTGGGTGTTTAGAAGATATACCGGAACGTTTTAGGTTTATTCATATTATATTTCACAAGATAGATCGTTTTTTTAATTTTTTTATGATCCATTTTTAATTCGGATTGTGAAAATATATATTCTAAATATAGTTTCACCCCTGTACAATGTAGGGCTGGCAATCCCTAGTGACGTCAATCACCTGTGTGGTTACGTTTCTCTTTTATATAGATTTTTCAAATTTTTTTTGTCGAAAAATAGTCATAAATACCGAAGATATTGCTGTAACAGGGTTTTGAGAGTGGCTTTAAGTCGGTCAGAGCTACTAAAGTCGTTTGAGTGCTGTAATCACGGCAAAAAACAGTCTAACAAGGGTTGAAAATATTATTAGATTCGAAAAAAGTTATAAGCTAAGCTTTCACCTGGCGTTCTAATGTTTTTGAAGCAGTGCGGAAATTAGCTATCGAGCGAGTATTGCATGGTCACCATGGACAGTAAGTGAATTTTCATTTATTTATTTATTTTTTCTTTTTTGCAAAAAAGTAATAGTACTTGAACGAATAGAGACATTGACGAGATAAGTCACATAAGAAGCAACTTCATGGAAGACTAGTTTTAACATTTTTTATGAAACTCCGTCGAGATTTTGGCCAGTTTATGTGTTCATAGTAAGGGCTTTTTTAACCTCGAGGACACTAATTGTAGTGTAAGTAAACTTAGATTAGTTAGTTTGTATGATCTGCTTTGTTAAAATTGATTTTAATTTAAAGTAGGTTAGATGTGGATATCGATTTAAAATAAAAGTATAATGCCTGGTTAGTTTGTTGCTATCGAAAAATACAATGAAGTGTGAAGAATTGTTTTGCTGACTTCAATAGTATGAAGATGTCTCCATGTAGCTCTAGTATCATTGGCATTGTCGTGTTTGCTTTTATATACTCATTTTTTAGACTCGCTGATGTTCACCAGTTCGTAATAAGAAAACTGCGCGTTCCGTTGGCGCGCACCTCGCCGAGTTTCATATACGCACCGGTGTCGGAAAGAAACAGTTGGTTAGGCGTGACCCATTCATCACTCACAATTGACACAAAAATCAAAAACACGCGTACATCCCGCAAATCGAACATTTATCCGTAAAAATTAAAGCAAAATCCTCGGTGAGGGCGCGTATCAAACAAAAACTTTTCGAGTGATCAAAACAAGAACCGATGTATGACGCAGTCCAAACGGCTTCTAGCTCGCTACTCCTGTATGGAAGCCGATTCCTCCACGAAACGGCTGCACACACAACTCGCGTCTCTCTCTCTCTCTCTCTCTTTCTCGCTCTCTCTATCTATCTCTCTTCATTCTTCTGTCTACGTCGATCGTCTTCCTTTGCCACTCGTCCTAGCTCCGTCGTACCGTTTGGCTCCACTAATCGTCTTGCACCGCTCCTCAAATAAAAAAAGAAAGACATGAGAGTGTGAATACGCATGTAGTACATTCTCAGCCTGACACACCGCGCGGACGTCGATGAAAGCTCAAACGATAAAACGACAGGTAAGCAGATACAGTTAAGTGATAGATAGATAGATAGATAGAGAGAGAGAGAGAGAGAGAGAGAGTTAAATAGAGAGAGAGAGAGAGGAAGGGAGAAAGTGAGAGAGGCTGAAAGTCAATAACACAGGCCAACGCATTTTCACACCGTCAGACCGGACCTGGTGTAGCCGAAGGAATTTGATGTACTCAAACCGAATCCGAGCTCAGAATTGATTCATCGTCTTTAGTTTTCGAGATATTCTATCCTAAAATTATCAAAAACACGTTTTTTTGTTTTTTAACCCCTGTAACTTCCTGAAAAATGTTTTTCTACAAATTTGACGACGGTACTTTGAAGAACAACTCTTACCCTTCAAAATACACTCCTTATTATTTCAATATTATTTTTTTCAACAGAGATATAACGCAATGACCTATAATAACTTGACATTAGCAATTGTCGTTTAGCAGAGGAAAGTTTTGCTTAAAGATAATCTTCGCTAAAATTAAAACCTTAACCAAAAAACCCTATATCCTACTAGATAATAACCCTTGACCACTAATATCCTCAGTCCGCTACGTTCCAAGTACCTCAACCAAAGATTTCTGTACCCTGCAATATCTTCCGACCACTAGATCCCAAGTTCCTTAACTTATTAATCCTGTATCCTGCTAGGTGTACCACTGTTATCTTTTAGCAAAACTTTCCTTTAAATGAAAAAGATTTGCGAAAATGCAAATTTATCATATTTCAATGTGTCATAAACCTGTCGAAAAAAATGAGCAGTGCGTTTTGAAGAGCAAAAGTTGCTCTTTAAGATGCAAAAAACAATTTATTTCATGAAGTTGTAGGGATTGGAAAACAAGAATTAAACGTGTTTTTGACGCTTTTAGGTTATAATATATCAAAAACTGAGAGTGATAGAGCAATTCTGAGGTCGGATTCGAATTCAGCGCACCAAATCTCTTCGGAAATACCTTGTTTGATCTCTGGATACGGATTTTTTTAATTTTGTCGACCTGTATAATTCTCAACGCACATTTAGTCAGATCCGCCAAGCAGATGCTGTCCAAGAAAGCACGTAGCAGTACTTCCATTGCTTTCTTAATCAGTGGCCTTGCTTGTCTTGAAAAAAATTAGAAAAACTATAAAGATGAAAAAATCTGATTGAAACGTTTTTTTTATTAGAGATTTTATTTAATCTGTATACTATTTACTATCTGTATACCATTTTCACCGATTTATTTTTAATGTTATGATTCATTATTAAGTTATTCAAATACGATTGTTTATTGATAAATTTTGTCGTAGAATTACCGAACCCTATTTATTTACTATATGTAACACTGAAACCTTATTGTTACATACTTGTTTTCACTTTTTTCACAGTAAAAAATAAAGATTTTTTTTAAACAAATTTTATATAGAAATTACCTTGAAAACTGATTCCAAGATCATAAAAATAATGCTTATTTATGTCCATGTTATAAAGAGGAAACAAGTCAGTTTTACGTAATATATAGAAAGGGAAGAGAAGAAATGAGAAAAATACAAACGCAGGCCTTACCGCACTTCACTCAACACTTAGCCCAGTAGCACAGTTAAATCAGCTATATCGTGTTCTTACTCCTGATTTTACGGAAAGCAGCGTGCAGTCCAAATCGCTTATTGCTGAAAGCGTAGAAAATTCGCGCTTCTTGCATATAAATATTTTGATATTTATAATATCTATTGTAATGTAACTGAGATAATGGACTCGTGAAGAAATAAGCAGAGGTTGAAGCAAATTCATAACGATATAAATAATTATAAATAATGAAGGGTTTTATTTATAATAAGTAATTGTTACATAGATTATTAGATCACAATTTTTTATCTCTACACAACAAACGGGTTACAATTGGACATTTGCGACATGTTGCGACAAACTTTCTGTCTGTCTGTCTGTCTCTCTCTCTCCCTCTTTCTCTCTCTCTCCTTTTTCCCCTCACTTACCTTATTATTGCATACTGCGGAAAAATACACGCAAAAATAAAGATATCAATAAAATATATTCGAAATAGGTATGTTTAACGCTACGAAAAAGATAGAGACATAATGAAATTATTTAATCACTATAATAATGTAATACATTATTACAATTGTAACGGGGATTCTGCTACCCCGTTAAGGGTGATGCTAGGTGGCTACTCGGCCTGCGGGTAACTCGTATGGGGAACACGCGGGATTCAGCCCAGCGGCTCAGATATGCCCCTCGAAGGCACTCTTGCCTTCGGCCCGCGGAGAGCGTCGTCGGTCAGGTAGCAGCGGACGGTGCAAGCCGGCGTGCGCGTAACACGGGAGGGAGGAAGTGCCGAGAGGAAAGACGCAGTGGTTAGCAGAATGAATATTTATTAAGACTAAGATAGCAAAGGAAGCATATAAATAGCATTCGCAGTGAGAGAGGCAAGCGAGGAGCAAGCGAGAGAGAGAGTCTTAAGATCGAACGGGCACTTACATGACAAGTTCGCAGTGGCCTCGGCTTTAGACTTGACACGCGCAGGTGTTCGGCCACGAGGCAGCTCTCTCGGGCTGACCGGCTAAGATCGGCAAACACACACCCACGCACGCACGCACGCACGCTGCACCCTTCGTCTTTATCGGTAAGAAAAACCCGAGCTGCGTAGCATAAAGCGCTTCTTCCTTGCGTCGATCGCCGAACTTGCTTCCTCTCGCGAAGGCGGGCAGCCGATTCTGACTCGCACGCGGACGTGGTCCCCCTCTCTCGCGCTAGCTATTCGGCAGCGGCGCGTCTCAGCCAATTAGGCAACGTGCGCGACACTCGGGCGTCCACGCTTACACGCGTACACGCGGGTCTCTCTCTCTCTCTCTCTCTCTCTCTCTACTCGGTGCTCCCTGACTTACCTCGTGCCGCGTCCACAGCTACGGCCAGGCAAAAATACATAAAGAAAAGAATACATGGGTTATCAACGGATTATGATTAACTGAAGGGGAGAGAGAGACATAACGAGCCTCGGCTCGTTATACAATAACATATATATTAAAAAAGATTTAAAATTGATTTTATAATTTGATTTATAATTTCTTACCAAAACTTGGGCTTCCTTTTAATAAGAACATCTCCTCTTTATTCATATAAAGTATTGTGTTATATTTTCTTGGCAATATGTTCAAATATGATTTCCATATCGAGAAATCTTTTCTTTTTTCTATCAACAATGCAATAGCTAATGCTATTTGAGGCATATTCTGCAGTATGGTATCTGACTTTAAATTGTTTAATTCTGAAGCTGCTGAATAGACATTGAAAATTAACGCTCTTGGTATTTCTAAAATAACTTCACCTTCATTGAGATCGATATTAGCTCGTAAGCCAAGTTCATAAGAAGGAAAATAATCTATTCGTACTCCATCAATTTTAGCACCATTTTTTTTCATCCAGTTAATGAATTCTTCAATGTATTCATCTCTTTCTGCTACATCAGAGTTTATGTTCTCAAGCGAATTTATTTGATCTAAAATTTCCATGATATCTATGTAATTATCCCATAGATGAAGATCTGAAATTGGCTCGCTACAAACTTATCCATAAATAAATATTAAATTTATTTAGGAAAATTTCATGTATAAGTAATGATAATATTTTATTATTATAAATATTCTAAAAAATATATCATATATATAAACATACAATACTGAATATCTTATCCAAAAGATATGCACAGCATTTTAGCCTGACAAAGAAATTATCTATTGTATCTAACGTTTGGATAAACAAATAAACTATTTAATGCCATTAAAGAAATTTTATCTCTCGCTGCGAGGCTAATTGCCGCCTCGATCCGCTTCTAATATGCCTGGTATACCTACGTACATGTTTCGCAGCTAAAAACAAGCGCGAAATCATGGATCAAATTGAGAGATAAATAAATTTAAATCAAGTTCTTTACCGCAAAGCTTCAATCAGTTAGTAGACGAACGTAAATGTGATACGAAATAGAATTAATACTGTTAGCTTATTTCGTCTTTCGACGATAATAATACACAACGACTTTGGAAGAGATATTTAAGCACATACAAGATTAGAAGTATCATCAAGCAGTCGCACTTGTTTAAAGCAACGAGTGAGAGAGAGAGAGAGAAAGATTGATTGATTGATTTTGATCTATTACACCATGGTGTAGAACCCTGTCGGGTATGATAGCCATACAGTAGAACAAAAATAGGTTGCACATCTTACAATCTATAAAATGCTTCGCTTAGGATCGCATAAAATATATAAATAAGCTTACAACTAAAAATAATATAAAGCTGGAGCATTACAATTAAACTTAATAATATTTCTAGCCTACGCAAACTAAACACTAGAATAAAGGTAAAGTTCGCAAGTTGCTGTTAAGGGAGTATGGTACGTACTCGTACGTGAGTAGTTAGTCGAGAGAACTATCCGACTTACGTTTGATTTGCGTAGAAGCGATCATAAGTTGTTCCGCTCTCCGCTACCGTCTTACCGCGTCTTGTTTACGTTGTATACTCTAACCTGAATTATAGCTCGATGACCATCGTTTATGAGTGACAATAACGAAGAGAAACAAGTTGAAATTGTTTTGAGGAAGGAAGAGAGTGACAAAAAAGTTTACGCCCTCAGATGCAAGCAATGGGAAGCGGGTGAAAATATCCAAAAAGTGCATAAAGTAAAGGAAAACGTTGACGAGTACATAGCATCGACTACACCAATAAAACGATGCAAAATCGAAGGTCGTCGAATCATTCATCCAAGAACTATGGCACGTGGATTGTTCTGCCAAAAATGTGATTTAATTTTATCTTTGGTAGACTGTGTTCAGGAACAAAATCTTGGCTTAGCATCTTTTTTTAAGTTCAATGTCGATCATACAAAGCATTCACTGCAGTGAATTCTGACAAAACCTATGAAGTATTTGGTAAAAAAAAGCATCACGATATAAATACAAAGCCGTCGTAGGTTCGTATAGTGCGCATACATGTACGAGTACATTTATTTTATAAAAACGTTGAGAATAATTTGACAACAATTTAAAAATAAAAATATTATATTGTAAAAGATTACTTGAATGTTGAAATGGGTCACTCAGACATCAATAAATTGCTCAGAGGAATGGATATGCCACAATATAACTAGAAAACCTATAAAAATCATGAAAATAAAAAAAGATTAGGTGCTGAAGAAATGGCTCGTTAGAGTTGTATCCAGGCAATGAGTTTGGAAAGACAGTTAACGATTGAAAATGCAGATATTATTGAAAAAATGCTGTAGATTAATAATTGAATATCGGCATTCATATAAAACAAATCTGCTTGAATGAATTGAGCTTAATATAATCAATTTTAAATGGTTTTGATTTCTTACTTATCGATTTTGTCAAACGTTCACAATGATTATGCATATCAAAAAATTTCTCAATCGTATATACTTCCTGGTGTCAGCGGATTTATTATATTTACTGCGAATCTATGCATTATTAAATTTATATTATAGTGTTTTTCAATTATGTTATATACAGGGTGGGCAATAACCCAATAACCCAAAATTGCTCACAGCAGAGCAGAAGAACATACGCTTAGAAATCGCTCTGGACAATTTGAAAATGGTCAATAATGATGATAATGTGCTTAGAAAAGTTATTACAGGTGATGAATCATGGGTTTATGGTTATGATCCTGAAACAAAACAACAATCTTCACAGTGGAAGCATTCTGAATCGCCAAGACCAAAAAAAGCACGTCAAAGTCGGAGCAATGTTAAGTCAATGTTGATTGTTTTTTTCGGTTGTGAAGGTGTTGTACATCACGAATATGCACCAACAGGTCAGACAATCAATAAAGAATACTACGTTCAAATTTTAAAACGTTTGCGTGATGCAGTAAGAAGAAAACGGCCGCACTTTTGAGAAAGTGGTGACTGGCTTCTCCATCACGATAATGCGCCAGCGCATTCATCCAATCTTGTGCAACAGTTTTTGAGCAAACGAAATATCGCATTGCTTCGACAACCTCCATACAGTCCCGACATAGCCTCTTGTGACTTTTGGCTGTTTCCAAAACTAAAAAAACCAATCAAAGGACACCGATTCGATGACAAAACAACGGTTGAAAACAATGCGACAAGTGTACTTAAGGCTATCCCTAAAAGTGAGTTCCAGAACTGTTTTGAAAAGTGGAAACATCGATGGAACCGTTATTCAATCAAGTGGGGATTACTTTGAAGGATGCCACCCACCAGATGATAAAGAATAACACTAGCACGAAAATATAAAAGTAGGCCCGATACTTTCCGGACAGACCTCGTATATCAGCTGTTTTTAAGGGAAAACGTTACTAAAAATAAAAAAGTGATTCGTAAACTAAGTGATTTTCTAGATAATATTCAAAACGATTTATGATTATGTTAAAATAATATATTCAAATATTATTGTTGTTTTATATTTGTTTATATGAATGATTACAAAAAAATTTTGTTGTATATGTATATTTTGTTATTTATGAATTTCAATTTTTATTAATGATCTAGATGATAAAATTATTTTTACCATATTACCTGTGTGACATCCGGGTCACTTTCTCAGGAACGTCTGAGGCAGACGTTTTCAGGTGCTCGATTTCGGAAGGTCTCCACGCTTAAACCAGAATGAGCAATTGGAGAAATAGAGCTTCTACTGCGCGACTCAAGTTATGTAAAAAATTTTGTTACTACAAGACTCCTATCGAACACCATAATTCAACGGAATCGGAACTTGTATACGAGTATTCCAGACCTCACTGAAATAGTCACAAAAATTTATCTATGTAACTTTTAAGCGGTATGATTGTCTTATTGAGGAGTATCCCAGATCTTGCTGAAAAGACATAAATTTTTCGTGTTTCAAATTGCTAATCTAGGAGTGAGAAGAAGAAGAAATAAGATAGCAAAGATTGATTTAGACTTACTTTTATTCTGTGTGGCTTTCTGATACTAAGAGGAACCGACTTTCGCCTTTTGGAGCTTCTCGCACCTACGTCGAATTGGAACTGGGGCTGGAACTAAATTAGCCTTTTTTCGCTTGTGCACACCCTTTTAAAGCCTGTGGGTGGTTAGGAGGAAAATCCCTCACTCAGCCCCTCAAAATTTGGGAAGAGTGGAAATGGCAGCAATTTTTAATTGGCTGACTGAGATCTTTCCACTTTTTCATCTCGGCTTTCAGGCCCTGATTGGTTCGAGAGCATGATGGAAATCGAGGGCGTACGTCCAAGGGTATAGGCCGTATCTCGTTAGATGGCTCTCCAAGTACCATTTTCGTTACATTTTATCTTATAATTCATACACATCTCGCATAAATTAAAGTAACAAGGTTAGGTTAACTTATCGTGGTTTTAACCTGAGTGTAGGTTATAGCGCACTTAGGCAATCCTGTCATGGTTTTGAGCTTGCAGGTTATGGCGCACTCAAGTTAATCTGTCGCTGGTTCTAGAGTTATAGGATTTTCAGTGCATTTAGGTCATAACTATCTGCCTTAGCCTGCCCTAAATTTATAGATGTCATTTTAGAGTGCATCTAATAAATTCAGCTAGATTCGCCGTAAATTAGTACAATGGTAGACCTTTATATGCCAGTGTAAGTTTTTCCTACTACTGAAGATTGCAAAAAAAATCAAGATTTTTCATACTCAAGTATAAATCAATTATTAAATGGCACATTTCAATTGACGGTATCTCTGATGGAAAAAGACATAAAAAAATCGGTAATGAATTTTGTCGGCCAAGAGTTGCTCTTTCAGATGCCGTTGTCAGTTTTGCATGAAAAAATCTATTCACAATGTTATAAGGTACCGAATATAGCCAAAAAACGTGATTTTCGCACATTTAGGTTAGGATATCTCAAAATCCTGACGTACTGGCGCAATTCTGAGCTCGGATTTGGATTCAGCGCACCAATATCCTTCGGGTGTACTATGTCTGGTCTCTGGTTCTGATACCTTGTTGGCCTGTGTTACTGATTTACCGCCAGCATAGCGTTACCCAAAGCATACCATGTGGAAGTTGCACGGTCGGATTTACGCTTCTTTTGTGCTTACGCGCGTGTATTAGATTCTTCAGAAAAAATGAGACCTTGTGGTTTATCAGTTTCACAGTATTTTACGACTCCAAACTCATTTTCTAAAGTGTGTAATGTGTATGTGTTCAGTATCAAGTGTTCCCGGCTCTACTCCTAATTACAGCTTGCAACCTTTGTCGCATATTCGAAATGCAATTTCGGATCATCCGTTGAGGGATCGGACGCCAAACTCTTATCAGAGCGTTCTTTAATTCTTCTAAATTATTTAGTTAGGGATAATTTTGACGCAATCGGCGACCCAATATGTCCCAGACGTGCTCTATGGGATTCAGATCAGGACTCTTTGCAGGATGCCTCAACAATCTGATGTTGTTTCTCTGAAAGAATTGATGTGTGATATTCGCTGTGTGAGGCCTAGCATTATATTGCATAAAAATAAATCCTCTCCTGTTTCGTGCTAACGGTAACACGTGAGTTTGCAAGATTCGGTCGATGTAACGCCTAGCATTG